CATATCGTAAATGTGCAGATCGCGATACATATAAATGGGTGATTTAATACTTCAAAAATGTATAGCATCTGGCACTGGGATGTAGTTGGGATATGCGTGCGCGTGCTCTGCCGCAAGACAATCAACAAGTTCATAGCGAGCTAATCTGATAAAACGAGGCACCCGCAGTTATGGCTAGTGATGGTGAAATGAAGCTTTGCGAAGCACCGAGGTAGAGGTCTGTATTCCCGCGGCTCTCCGACCCGACCGGATTTTTTGCGCCGCGGGATTAAATTCACGAATAAAACAGGGTAGCGGTCGGTAACTCTGGTGTAATTTGAACGGGAGCGGGCGGTCTAACAATATCCCGTTCCCGACATCCATTTAGAACAGCATATCTGCACTTTATTCTTATTGACCACCGTACAGCTTACACTTATGACTGTTATGCACGCGCTGCACGCATGCTTAAAACGTCACGCGTTTTATTTGCGTGGTCTGTGCTCAGCATGTGCATAATGATGCTCAGAGCAGGCTGTACCTGTGGTAAATATACGGCCCTCAGACAGAACAGGCAGGTTGTCGATGAGTGACAGAGCAGAATAAGGATGGAGCAAAGTGTGGATGCGCTTTCATTGAAGGACGTTCAACTCGGTTTTGTTTATATTTTGCTTAGCCTATAATTTTAATGGAAAGATGTCCTATTTATTTATTTTGCTCTGCGACACTTTTCCTACTGTGTTAACAGAAAAATGTCAAACGAATTTAGTATTTTGACAAGACGAATAAAAATAGCTAATAGGCTATTTTTGTACAACCTACTTTTTTTTAAGTTTTTTGTCTCTGCGACACTTTTTCTCTATTGTGTTGTCAATGTTAAACGAATTGTATCCTGACAAGACGAATAAAAACAAGAAATACAATTTTTGTACATTTTTATTTTCTCTGACACTTTTTTCCTACTGTGTTGCATAAAATATTAAACAAATTTTGTGTCTTATGATAATTCATATGAATTCAAGTCAAAGTCAATAAATTCAAGACTCTTGACAAGACGAATAAAATAACACAATTTTGTGCAGACTACACTTTTATTTGTCAGCCTATCTCTCTTTCTTTCAGTAGCGGAAATTTAAATGTGAGATTCTGGAAGCGAGATCTAACTTTAGCGGGAACGGTCGGGTCGGGAAGACATTTATTCTAAGCGGACAGCGGGTGAACAAAGAGTGAATATATAGTGGGAGCGGAAGGGTGCGGAATAGAACTAAAAAAACAGTCCCGCGCAGACCTCTACACCGAGGCTTTCCCCTCAACTGTATCTAAAATGGTTAATTACTCGAAGCTTTTCAACATGTTGTACACTATTGCCATCTTGTGGTCAAAGGTGGAAAAAAGGTGCCTTTGCGTCCCAGACATCCCAACCATTTTTGGACTGTTTCATATAATAAATCAATTTGTGCTACAAAAACCATATAAAGCAATAATAAAAAAAAATGTAATTGTACTTACACAAAGTATGAATAAATGAGTATGCGAACAAATTTATGAAAAAAATAAGCATGGCAAGATTATTGTGGAATGGTCCGTTGAAGTGCTTGAGAAGCGGGCATAACAAACTGAACATGCACAAAACTACACATGTAAATATTTATTCGTATTATGATTTATTCTTATCAAAGTAGTGAATGACACTTGAAACCCGCGCAATGGGTGTGCGTTTTTTGAATCAGAATACGAAGCAGTCACGTGGTTGTGTGCGAAAACGAAACTTCGGACGTCACAGATCATGTAGTTATGGCAAAATGAAGCAAGCTCCGGTAGCGCTTCATTGTGAGATGTTTGTTAGTTTTTTTTTATACAAGCTTCAAAGCCTCGGTGCCGAAATGGGGGCAAAAATAAAAGTGTTGCGTTTATAATTTTGTTCAGTGTATAAACGCACAACTGCGAGATAACAACTTGCAACTTCATTCAAATTTCCATCACTAATTTGTGATTTTATATGCAAATGATGATAATTCACTGTATTTTAGTAATAGACACATAACGTTAAAAAACATAATTTTAATGTTTTAAAGCACAGTCGTTTTTTTTTTTTTTTAAGGAGATGAGTTGTACGTTGCCCAATGCCTCACATGCATTACTTGGTACAAAGTGCTAATAAAATGTTTTCATGGCAAACATATATTTCCTTGTTTACCTCTTAACAAAAAAAATATCAGGGGCGTTTCCTCTGAGGAGGCAAAGGAGGCAGTGTCTCTTCAAAAAGTTGGATAAGAAAATATTAGATATTACAAAAATAAAAATATGACTAAATATGATATTAAAAGTCTAAAAGTCACTAGTTTTTATAAAGTAACACAGTCCAACAGCGACACCCGCAGGTAAAGTTACAGCGGAGACTTGCCTCCATTCGGTTCATTGACTTTCTACAGAGACCCTAAAGCGTGCCTTGACTTTTCTGGAGGCTCATTGAGATGAATGGGGGAAAGTCACGTGAGAGGAGACAATGCCTCCATCGCGCTATAATTGGATATGGTCGGTTATGATTGGATGTGATTGGTTCGTGTGATAAATCCCGCCTCTTGTTTTCATGCGAGCTCTAGGTCTGAATGAAGAAAATTATGGCGTTATTGACTAATTATAAAATAGGCCTAAGTAAACAACTCTCCTGCTTAGATACCACTACTTTGTATCACATAAAAATAAAACTTGAAATGGTTTGAAAACGTGACGACTGCTCAGTTTTTAGTGAGCATGCAGCGTGATGAAATGAAAGCTATATCTTTGTGTCTGTGGCAGTGTTTACAGAGCTTTTATGATGATGACCCGAAATAAGTTGACTATTAAAAAGAACAGCTGAACATCAGTTCACAAATAAAAAATATTGGTAACATTTTAGAATAAGGTGTCATTTAATGAGTTAACTAACACGAACAAACTATGAACATGTACTACAATATATATTAATCTTTGTTTACATTAGTTCATACAAATACAGTTGTTCATTGTTAGTTCATGTTAGTTCACAGTGCATAAACTAATTTTAAGAAACGCAACCTGTATATACTGTATATATATATATATATATATATATATATATATATTAAAACACCACCGTACGCCACTGATATATATATATATATATGTATGGAATTTTTTTTATATAAAAAAAAATATTGTTTGTTTTAAAGGTTGCTATTTTATAGTAAAAAAAAAAAGTGTCCACGTGACATCGGGTATTAAAAATCCAAATATTTATGTATCCACCACCCCCTCAATCTGTGTATGTAGGCTACGGGATTACATTAGTTTCAGTTATCAACACTCATTGTAGCCATATAGTCCTAGCTGCATAACTATCAAATATAAAATCACTTGGAGCTGTAAATCTGTGCAATATGGGTATGTGAGGGACTTGCAGCTTTTAAGAAGGTGAGTAAAAGAGTAATCGCTGTGATTAATATTTTTGTTCATTAAGTAATGACTATATACTAAAAATTTGAAAGGGGTATACAGTAAACTATTTAGTTCTATTTTACAGTGATTTCTGGTTCTTTTTAAAGTAGCCACAAAACCAGTAATTTAATTTGTGCATAAATAACCTACATATAAAAGTATAAATAAAAATACACAGCAGAGAAGTGATATGAACATGTATTATTTATTATTAATATTTATTGCACACATTAATAATATAATAATATAATATATTATTATACAAAATAGCTAAATCTCAAACAGTGGATCATTTTTATCAGCATATCGCCCAGCTCTAAAACTGCTCAATGTAAGTTATTATATATGACTTTCTGTAGCCTATATCTGCTTTTAAACAATGTGTATTGTGAAAAGCACTGTACAAATAAATCTGACTTCATTTAACTTGATATAGGTATAGGACTATATCGTGGACACGAATTAAGAATTTGTTTCTGCAGACTTAATACGCGTGCACAGCTCTGTTCTGCCCGAAGTACAAGGAGATGCCGTCACCAAGCATTTATTTGTACAGTAACTTAATCTAACTATTTCGTCTTCAGTAAAAAAAAATAAAATAAATTTAAAAAAAAAATAGCCAATTTATTCGAAATGAAATCACCATGGTTAGCACTTAAAATTTCTCTGTAGTACAGCCAAACAGCGTAGATCATTTATATAAACGTACATAAAAGACTGCTCATGACTCAAGCGTCTATGCCAATAAGCTCTGCTGTATTATAAACCAATGCAGTAGGACTCTGCACTCTGGGGCTACTTGTTCAATCTGCTGTTTATTCAGCTACAGCAATAGGGATTTCCTGAAATGACGTGCATTACATTTCTTCTGCGGGGCATATTTGGAGTTTCAGTGCGAGAGCGCCCTCTGCCCTTCGGTTTTAGCAGTATTTACTACTGATCACAGAACCGTGCTTCACTGACAAGCTGTGCATGGAAATTTGCAGCTTTTGCCAAATCGCGATTCCTGTTTAATTTCAATTGATCGTGCAGCCCCAATTTGCATCAGGTTTGCTTGGCAGAAAAATCTTCAAAAACAGGTGAATCAACCCTCTTTGCCGAACGTAAGCAACAATCAGGCTTTAACAATGTCCGATTTGTTTTATGGAACAGTAAAACATCGCTGTTCTCTTTCAGAAGTTGTAGTGATGCTTTATTTTCCCTGAAATAATGTGAAACATACAGTACGTTGGTTATATATATTTTAAAATACATTTTAATGCAATTTAAATTAATTTTAGAAGAAGAAATATCATATCGCATATCAAATATCGCATTATTTACCATGCTATCGCATAATAACTTTTTCTTCAATATCCCACACCCCTACGATAGAAAAAAGTCTGGCTATGCACGTCTGTGTGCCATTCTGTTGGCAAAAATGCAGATGGCTAGACCAGCACTAAGCAAATGCACCTGGGGCAAAAATCAAGGATGGTAGAAAACATTAAAATACAGAATAAGCAATGACGTTCAACACACAAGAATCATTGTAGACTTGCATGGTAAAAAACAATGTTTCTTACCTTCATAGATTGCTTTAAATCCTTGGGCACTAACTGCAAAGTCTGTAGTAAACCACAGTGCCAAAATCGACCCCGTACTTACGATGGGTGATGGCAACATGAAGCCAGACAACCTGGAATGAAATTTATAAATGCAATGTAAGTGTTCGTCAGTATATTATTAGAAATTGATGCACCATATACATTATTTCACATTTTAAAAAAAAGAAGAAAGAAAGAGGTAATTGTTTAATTCATCCCTGCACTTTTCTAAAGTATCACTGTTCTTTGTCACGTTTTTAATGAGCAGGACCAAATCGTCTTGGTCGCCCTCAGGGAGCATGAGCACACTTCACTGCCCTATGACTCCACAGTACTGCCTCACCTTTGACACCACCCGGGTGAATTAGATAACAATAACAAGCTGAAGATAAAACAAGCGTCCTCCATAACAAAGACCAGCCTCTGTGGCTCTCGATTGAAGGATAAGACAAGTTATTTGATGAAAGCCAGGAGAAATAAACTAGTCTCACTCCTCAGAGGTCTCAGCTAAGTAGCAGAGGTTATCTGACTCTAACACATCAGCTAAAGTTCATGGAATTCTCTAAAGATGATTCATGTTATCTCAGACCAATGTAAAACCAGAACATAGCACACACTCCCTAATTCTTGTTTAAGCAACCAACTAATCTCTAACTTTGTCATTTGCAAATATCACGATTATCATAATTCACTGGAAATTTTTATTGCTCAAAGTATTTCATTGATCGTCTATAGCTGAAACTCAGTGGTAATTTCAGCTGTAAAAGGGGTCATATGATGCGATTTAAATTTTTCCTTTCTCTTTGAAGTGTTACATGCTCTTGGTGCATAAAGAATATCTGTAAAGTTGCAAAGACTAGTCTCAGATCCAAGGAGATATTCTTTATAAAAGTTAAGAGTCAACCACACCT